TGACTAACAACTGTCTTCACTTTACAGGTTCATTGTCTTCTTAATGATAATATTTGAAAGATGATAGACATCTACACTCATGACACCAAAATCCTGGCTACTTCTTCCCCACAGGATGCATTAAGATTGCATCCAAGACTAGGATGCTAGGGCTTGGGGAGCTGCCTTCAACAAGCAACACACAATGACACTCATCGGCAGAAGCTGACATACATACTTACTCACGCGCATGGTAGCATCCCATGTCTATGCGGTTCCCTTGCACAACTCAGTAACAAGCTACAAGCTAAGCGCTGTTTCCTTTTGGGGGAAAGAAGAGCCGTCAGAGTTTACCATGAACCGAAGACGCTACAAGATGTTTCTGAGAGATGACCATTTGGATCGCTTAGAGATGCTGTGGAGTTGACCCACCACGGCTGGGAGCAGCCACAGGTTCTTGATTGACCTGGACCAACACGGTTTGAACAACGCTGCCGCTACTGGCTTGATCTTCATGTGGTGCTTATGTATCATTGGCGGTTTCATCAAGACAAACACTGTTGCACGATAGATGGTTCAATGGCCTTTCAGACAGAATCTGGACAGTTAGCTGAAATCCTCGGCTGCAACCTTTGAGCCAAACTCTGCATGCGCTTGGCTGACTTACCTGTCCGCTAATGGCATGTAAATAGCAAGCCCACAGCAAAAGCGTACCCACACGCTATGCCGAGGAAGACTGTTTCTTTGAGAATGTACGTGCAGAAAGTTCATATGTCCAACCCAGACTCTGCTGGTTGATCCAAGCTGTGAGCACCCGGGCTTTGTGCCTGCACCAATTTTCCAGGACTCATCCGGCCGGATGCTCAGGGTGCGGCTGGTGTTGCGACACGTGTCATGTTGGTGGCGAGAGGCTGGCTTCGACTTGTGCATCCATTCTCCCACAAGGGTGTACAACAGGTGCCATGTTGCCACACACACGTTCTCGGACATTTCCTTTAAGGGCTGAGAATTCATTGCTGTCAGTCTCGGATTTCGCATGTGTCGTGCCTGAAGCCTGAGCCATGAAGGTGAGTGTTTGTTTGTTTGTTTGTTTTGTTTTGTTTTGTTTTGTTTGTTTGCTGCTTCTTCCAATTGCTTCAAGATCGTTGGATCATTGGACCCCTTGCCTGCGATTTGCACTAGGACTGCAGTTCATGCATTCACCTTACTCTGCCGGCGTCGTGATGCTTTTGTCCTGGTTCGAATGGGCCCCACCTGTTCTCGTGCACACAGACTTGCATTATTGCAATTCCCACGTATTGTGTTGGTTTGTTGGTTGTCAATGCGTGACATTTGAGTACGCATCAGGAGCATTGTGCAATTCATACGTGGATTTAAACGAATCGAATCGCACATGTACATTCACAGTGTGAGTTTGCAATCTAGCTGGGGCCTGTTGCTTGCGCTCCGCAATGTTGAATCGGGTGCACGGATTACCAGGGAGGAGATGGGATTAGCCACTGCAGCTTTGACATTTCGGCTAATTTTTGGCCCTGGCCGGTTAGGCCCTTGTCGCAAGATGCTCTGCTAACAGCGGCCAGCACCCCGCGCTTTGACAGAGTGCATCCTAACCTATCCTAACCTCCCGCATGTGTTCTGTTCGGTCGATATCCTCCAGCTGCTTGCCCTGTCCCGACTTTTCCGTGTTTTGCAAAACAATTGTACTTACACAGCTGGACAGTCAAGAGAATCACCACTGTGGCAGCTGTAATGGGCAACTGGCAGCTGTTGGACGTTCACAATTTGCCAAATGCTCTGTTTTGCTTCCTGCCAGGTGGCGCTGTGCCCAATCCCGTGGCGGAGGACTGAGTCGACGAATGGAACTGCCGGGAGGGCACGCTGCGCAAGTGGCCGTGCGGGATTGCCTCACGTTCTCACCTTGAGCTCAAGCCAAAAGTTGGAATGCAGCCCTGATGATGTTTCTGGCTTGTATGGCTTAGGGTCAAGAGGAGACATATCCACATGCGTGCACTCAGAGGGTTGACTTTTTGCGCCGGAGAGGATGACTCCAAGAAGAGGAAGCGGTCCAAGCGTGGCAGCCCAACTTGATATCTTACTAATTTCCATGGAGCCAGGTTTGGCAAGAAGTCAGTGAATGAGCCCATTCAAGTGCTTTTGGATTGGGGATTGGCAGACACAGTCTAGCCGACAGCCGCCGCACCTAATGGATGCGTGATGACACCCTTCTGATATTTCACTTGAACCAGATATTGTTGCCTTTGACGCATCCGCAAGTTTGTGGCTGTCGAGATGGCCTTTTAGCCCGGGAGTGCTTCAAGGTGCCCAGGTGCGGGCCACTGCGTTTTGGCCACAGCCAAAGCGGCGTCACGAAGTGTTGTCAGGTGGGATGAGGTGGGGGATCCAGCCGCCGGGCTGCCGGACTGGCTCAAGGAGCCGGAGATCTCAGCGTAGCCAGCCTATCCTCATTCGGGGGGTTGAGGCGAATATCAGGCACTTGTCGTGCCAGGCTCCGGTTGGTTTTATTTGCGAATGGCAACACTGTGGGTGAAAGGCACTGCGTGTTGGCTGGTTTTTGCATCCTATGTAAGCGCCAATGAAGGACTTCCACCAATCAGAGGGCACACAGCCATCAACAATTGGGCATTTTCAATGGCCGATGGTCGAGTCACATTTGGAAGAATCCTGGCATGATTTCTGACTGGCTACAAGCTAAGGCACTCCCGAAGAATGTAGGACTTGTTTAATGCTCCAAGGGTTTGGCACAGTCATCAGCACTCTGATTTTATGCAATGCGTATGCTAGGATTCTGTACCTCCTTCGATGGCATTCGATGGCAGCAGTATGGGATTGCATTAGCCAGGACCTTGCCAAGAAGGACGATCCCAAGTCCGTCAGACCTGCTCCGCCAGGCTCGGGGGTGGTTGATTGATAGGCCCTTGTGTCCATGCTTGTGCGTTTTAATTTTCGCGAACCATTTTTGGGATTGTCAATCAAGAGCTGTCTGTTGCCGGGATGTGAGTATGTCAGCGATACCCTGGCTATCAAGTGGAGGAATCCATGTATGCCCGCGATCTACACAGCGTCAACGTCTGAAAGCAACAGTTGCCAGCATATCTGCTGACTTACGCAGACACAGTAATCCTCTCCCCCTAATATACCTAAAAAATACCTTCCGGGGGTTTTATTATTGGGATCCCCAGGCTTTGGGCCAGAACTGTTTCAGACTGCGTTGGGCAAAGGGGAACCCCTTTGCTTTGCAGAATAAGTGTTCAACATGCAATTTCTGAGTAGGAACTTTAAAAGGGAAGGCGCCCTTGTTTTTTTTCCAAAAAGAAACCTCTTAAAACTAATAAGATCCCTGTTTGTTATCAAAAAGGGACCTTGTGAAGGGAACTCAACGGAGACCCTAAGAATAAAGCCCTTGTCACGCAGTGCAACCATTTGGCTTTGGTTGGAAGGAAAAAGTGCTCAGAACAATCACAACTTTTGAGTCAGACCAGGCTGACCCCTAACAAGCACATTTGAGTAGTTTCGCTGAGTGGAGGTGGGTTCGGGAGAGTTTAGTATTGGTCTAGTTTTGGGTAATTTAAAATAGGCATTGGCATTTTTGGGGGTCGGCTGGGGGGTTATTATTAGGGGAAGGTTTGAAGAACGGATTACCAGCCCTGTCGGCGTCCAACGCGTTTGATAGCAAGAAACCGATAGATATCGAGTCGATCAATGCCTACAAGGCCCATTGCTCAGCAAGACAAGATCTGGGATGGCTCGTTGAAGGGCAAATAAAGTCAATAGAACTTTTGGATAGAAAGTCACTCCACAGGGCGCAGAGCCGCGGATGCAAACTGCCCGCAGGTATTGACCCATCCAGGTTCAAGATCATCCGTATGGAGGGCGTGCAAATTCGCGCCCTGATCGGCAAGGGTGGCGAGACCATCAAGGACGTGGCAGCGGATTGCATGCTGAGAGAAAGCAGTTGGCATTTAGTAGAGACATGCAAGAACCGTTGATCCCAGACGCCTCAAAGAAAGTTGAGAGGGGCCAGTGTGTCCGCTGCTGCTGCATCATAATGTACATCCAGTGCTCAATGACGGACTAACGCTGGCTTTGTTTGGTCTGTGTTCGCATGTTGACATTGTTGAGCAAGAGACTGCTTGGCAAGCAGGCTATCCTCCAATTATTGCCGTTGCAAGCAAGTGTAGATGTTGCCATGGACAGAGGGTGTAGTCCGAACAATGGCAGGTATTTGCCTCTTTGTAGCAACTTTGGTGCGTTCCCGCGGGTTCCAGCCGATCGTGCACAAGGAGATCAGGTTGCGAAGTGGTGCCGACATCAAGATCGACCACTTGCCTTCGGACCCGCAAGTGTTGCATGATGCGTGCCACTACCTGGATGGTACCACTAGCACTCTCAAAATGCATTTTTGTTTCGCGGGTCCAGCAAAAATGGTCAACCCCAAAAGAGCTTTTTCCTTTGCCGGGTCACTGGGCAAGTGGGTGGGTGTGTCCAGAGTTTGGAGATCCCACATAGCTGGTAGTTAATCGGTTTTCCCTGCAAAACCAGCCGAAGGGACCATTCTGGGTCAACATTTGGCAACATCCTACATCTTTCCCCTCTGCAAAAATGATGATGGCAGAACTGATTGAATCCTCGGTGTAGAGTTGAACTCGTCAAAATACATGTCTTGTCCTGTTTGGTAGACGCACATGTTCTCTGCCACGAGAGGATGCACGTGCAACCATCAGCGCGCCTCCTCATGTGCACCATGCCAGGCAGAAACGCAAGCAAACTGTGCACTTGTAGCGCCCGCAACTCTATTTCGTGTCAGGGTGCCGCATTGCTCAGCTTGTTTAAGAACTGCCCCGGCGTCAAGTTTTGCATGGATTGGCGCCGGCACCACACGCGTTCAGCAGCATGAGCATGCGTTATCAAAACGAGACAAATGACCAGGACCAGGCGTCGCCTCTCCTTTATTTTTCGCCAGTTCGGCGCTTTTGGTGTATATGCATCCACAGTGTGAGTCCAGTCTTCATGATTGAACTATGCAACTCTCCTCACTGCTTTCATTGCATGACAGTTGGGTGTACCAGGAGGCAAGCCCTCCTGGCACAGCGCGGGGTAAGCTTGATTGGAGACCCCCGCAGATTCTGAGGATCCTGAGGGCAACGTCACCATCGTTGGGGAGGTGGAGAAGCCGGGATGCCCAGACAATTGATGCCTTACCTTGTTAATCATCTCAGCATTTGCAAAAGCCGACTCCGTTTTTTGACAGCTGTGGTTGCAGGGAACAGTGTTTTTGTTACTAGCCTCTACCCCAGTCAGGTGGCTGGTTGGTTGGTTGGTTGGTTGGTTGGTTGGTTGGTTGGTTGAGATTGGTTGGCCGCATCCCCAGCATCACCAGCCTTGCTTGGACCTAGGGAGAGTTGCTCGGGGCTGGTTTCAGGTGAGGGTTGGGGGTGCTCAGATTTTTTAGCGAGGCAGGTCTTGAGTTTTTTGGGGTTCATTTAGGCTTGGCAAAGGGCTGATATCCGGGATGCTGTTTGTTGAAGGTCGGTTTGGGTTGGCTTGGGGCTCATTTGTGCTAGCTGCTAGTCAGCCCGAAGCCACCCCAAACCAACCTAAGGCCAACCCACCACCCAACAGCCTGGACAACCAGGGCACTAGGGAATGCCGCCTTGTTGCCAACCTAAGAGTGAAGCAAGAGTTTTTAGCCAACCTGCTTAGAGGCAAGCGGAGGCCTTGTGCTGAGCCGGGCAGAAAGAAGACCTCAACCTGGTTGCAGCGCCAACTAACTGCCCCTTTGATAGACCATGCATCGCAACAGGCGGGCTACAAACTGTTTGCAGGTAGATCGCCGCTGTCAATTGCAGGCCTTGTGGCAGGCCCGCCTGGCATGGCTTTGCAACCGAGCGGGCGGCTGAGGACAGAGGCCATGATCAAAGAGACCCTGGCCGCGAAAGGCTGTCCCTTGAACGCCAAGGCCTGTGTTCGGGGAAGATGCAGACTGAAACCAGGATGCTAGACGGACTGTATTCCTGAACCGACGATTGGTGCTACAAGTGCATTGTAGGTGGAACGTCACCATGTAACAGGTCGATTTTGCACAGAGCCAATCACAACCACATACTGCCCAAAGAGGCGCACGTTCGCACGCACATACACCCACTCACCCGCCAACCCGGCTACGCACGCATGCACGCAACAGACACGCAAGCGCACCTGCACTTCGGATACGTGTGTGTGTGTGTGTGTACGTGTGTGCAAGCACAACACATTGCCCGCAGCTAGCAGTGCTTCAGGTGAATTCCTTGGATTGCATCATCCATGAAGATTGCGACTTCCCAAAATGGCTAATCTCAGAATCTCAAACGTTGCTGAATCTCGAAAGTCGGAAGTGAAGTGGCATGTTTCCTCGTTAGGTTATGATGTCAATGTCTGATGCAAAGCTCGGTCAGAGTCGTGTTCAGACGTTGGCCTTCATGATATATGAGGGTTGTACAGATGATAGACAGACAGACAGACAGAAAGAAAGATATAGATATGGATACGGATATAGATGTTAGTATGATAGATATAACATATAGATATAGATATAGATAGATAGGTGGATGATAGATAGATGGATAGATTGATGGATAGATAGACAGTATACATTGATACATTCACGCGTACAAACATACACACAAACACATGCATACACACACATGTACATACATACATACATACATACATACATACATACATACATACATACATACATACATACATACATACATACATACATACATACATACATACATACATACATACATACATACATACATACATACATACATACATACATACATACATACATACATACATACATACATACATACATACATACATACATACATACATACATACATTACATACATACATACATACATACATACATACATACATACATACATACATACATACATACATACACATACATACATATACATACATACATACATACATACATACATACATACATACATTACATTACATTACATTACATTACATTACATTACATTACATTACATTACATTACATTACATTACATTACATACATACATACATACATACATACATACATACATACATACATACATACATACATACATACATACACACACACATACATACATACATATATACATGCATCCAGCCATCCATCCATCCATCCATCCATCCATCCATACATACATACATACAGGCACACACACATACATACATTACATTACATTGCATTGCATTGCATTACATTACATTACATTTATGCATACATATATACATACATACATACCTACCTACCTACATACATACATACATACATACATACACACATACATACATACATACATACATACATACAGACGTACAGACTTACGTACATACGTACAGACTTACGTACATACGTACATACATACATACATACATACACACATAGACATATATACATACGGTTGAAGCCCTAAATATTGCAAGTGCGGAGCAGAAAACCAAAGGGCACGGTCCACTAAGGGAAGCACTGTGACATGATATTTGTGGCCCCCCTTCCCCTGATACAATGTTGAACTTGCAATACATTGGGCCTCGGAAGACGGGTTACGCACTTGGCTTCAACAGTACAACTGGGGGCGGGAGAGGGGTCCGCACGCAGCGGGCGATGCCACAGAAATGGTGTCAACATGCGCCTTGGTGGCACTTGCAATATTTAGGGCTTCCACTGTACCTACCTACCTACCTACCTACATACATACATACATACATACATACACACATATACATATATATATATACATATACATACATACATACATGCATACAAGCAAGCAAGCAAGCAAACAAACAAACAAACAAACAATCACACATACAACATACACACAATCACGCACACACACACACACACACGGGTACACACATACATAGAGACATACACACACATGCACACATACATACAAACAGACATACAGATGCAAACGTACAACCATACAGACCTACAGACATATGCCTGCATACCGTGCCTGCCATGCCTAGCACACATACCATGCAGACCATGCATCCCATACACACACAAGGCGCATCCTACACACTGCGCGCCGTTCATACCATGCATACAATACATACTGCGCCTACTATACATACCAGACATTCGAGACAGCACCCTACCATACGTGCATAAATGCCCAACATATACGCTATACATGACACACACATACAACACGCACGCCATTCAACATTCGCAGAACATAACATACAACATGGACACCATACATACCATACATACCATACAGCAAACACACACACACACTTTTCATACCACACCTGACATACATGACATTCACAACATACACAAGACACGTACCCCACGCATAACACGCACGCAGGACATACATACCATACAGAACATGCAAATTACACATACAACATATACGTATAACACATTTACACAACACCACAAAACAGAACATGTCATATCATAGCATGGCACACCATAACAACACAACAGCTCACAGCATACCATCACACAACTCGACTCACTACAACACATCCAAAACAGGACGCCAAAGCCTGAGAACGCATGAAAAACGATACGGGACATCCTAGCGTTGCAATGAAGACACCCCATACTTAGCAGAGTGGGGATGTGCGGAGTGCCGACTGCAGTCGATGCCACCTCCACCGGCGCCGGTGCCGCTGCCGGGCGAGGGAGTGCCGGGAGCCACGAGAGAGTGGCTGGAGCAGAAGTTGGGGCACAAGTTGGGTGTCTTGCACTTAAGCCCCTTTGGAGCCAACCATGTGGTTCCAAAGTTTGGAGAACTTTGGTTCTTTTGAAAGGGTCCATGGCGATACTTTTGATTGTTATGTGTGTTTTGATCATCTCGGACATTGTTTGGTGACATGTTTGCCTTGGCGAATGCTGGAGCATTAAGGACAACTAAGTAAGGTTGTGGCATGCTTGAGATGCATGGACAAAATTTCCTTATTTCAGAGGAAGCTTTTCTATCAGGTTCTTGAAGATATTTCTAGCTGCTTTTTCATGGACTACTTGTATTGCTCAATGCGGAGTTAGTGCCAATGTGAAACGTGTTTTTTTCGCAACCGTCTCATGGAGTCGAAGGACGAAACCAGTGGCCCCAGAAGCACACCAACAAGCGGCGATGTTTGGCAGCCGCCGTTGGACGAACGTGCCCCAGCACTGAAGCGCCATTTTACGAGTGAGTTTTCTCTCCGAACCAGCAACAAACGCCGCCCCCCGTTGGCCCATACCTGTTCACGCCTTTCCCCGTTGCACTGGCATACGCCAGCAAGCGAGGCCGCCGCTGCCACTGGAGCCCAACGAGAACGAGGTGATTGTCCCGGCGGATCTCGCTGGGGCCAAAGATTCGAGAATGCCAAAGGCTATGGCCAGAGATGTTCTCAAGTCTAAATGGGTGTGGGTCAAGAATAAGGACCCAAATTGGAGCCCTGGTAAGTGGAACCATGGGCTTAAACCTGCCGTCCCCTGGTGATTTAGTTTTAATCCAAGCCAAAATGGACACACTGATAAGTCGTTCATGAGTTGTGCTTGGAGCAGATTCCCTCATACTACTCACCCTTTTTTTGGCCATGGATTGTGCAGGAAGCTCACGTGGGCCGATGTACCGAGGTTGGTTTGCTCATCGGTCCCAGCGGCACCAGCATCAGGGTGGGCATCGCGTGTTGGACGTGTCGTTTAGGTCCGATGCTGCGCTAGCAAATATTCCATTTGATGTCGCTTTGAGCTGATGGTTGGTTATTGGAGTGTGCTGGAAGGTTGGGTGGGATACTTTGAATGTTGGCGACAATTCAAGCCACAGGCTGTGGAGAGCTGTCGGGGTGGGGGCGGCAAGAGCCGAACTCGCGAATCGCTGACGTCGATGTGGGCTAGTGTTGGAACTGAAAGCCATTCAAAAGAGTATCCCTTGATTGGCACGCTTTCATCTCGCAGGCTTGTGCTTGGAAGCTTGAATGCATCCAGAAAAACGTTCCTGCGCCATGACGATGTGCATTTGCCCAGTGGAGATGTGTGCTCCTCAGTCTCACCTGAGACGCCCATCAGCGAGCTGAAAGCGACTGCGCAGCAAGCGACTATGCCCATCGCCGCTTGACGCTCGTTGCAAAATGCCGATTTGGCGGAGCTGAGCGAATACGGGTTGTTCCACCTGCATGCTCACGGGGGCGAGGTTGTGCCTGGGGTGGTCCAGGACATGGCGGAGGCAGCAGCCAGGTGCAAGAGCAGTTCAGGAACGTGAAGCACATCCAATCATCTAACAGGGGCTGTTGTGACCTGGGGCCATGCAGTATTCGTCGGAGACAGCAGCCAGGTGCAAGAGCAGCTGAGGAAAGTCCAGCACATCCACGCATCTGACAGTGCTTTTGCTGCCATTCACCTGGGGTGATCCAGAAGTTGGAGACAGCAGCCAGGTGCAACAGCAGTTGAGCCTGCAATGTGGTGTTGTTGTCGTAGACGCCACAATCTGGGGCACCAAAAGCGTGTGAAAGGAGGAAACAACGGGGGAACTCTACAGCTGGTTTTGGCGTAACGTGTTGCTCAGAGTTGCGGTTTGGGGCGAAGTCACCGGCGTGCGACGACGCACTCCACGGAAGATAGAAGTGAGCAACAGCCAATATTTGCCATCAGATACTGTAGTCGACTGGAGGACATGCGGGTCGTTCGTGCTGAGGGTAGTACTCTTGTTTGGGCCTGCAAACTCCACCGCACTGCTCTGTTTCTGTTGGTGCGAGCTGGCGTTGCTTGCCTCATCAGCATGCACTCCAGTCGCCTACACAACAGCTTCGCAGGGTTTTGTTCCAGAGCATTATTGTGAGATGCCATGGCATGCCATAGCTTGACTGGATGGTTGCCGGCTGAATATGTGTTCGCATGGATGTTTTTGCGAGATAGAATGACTGAATGGCTGCGTGGATGACTTGAAGGATCTTTGTCTTGACAAGTACTCCTTCAGGAGGTTTTGGCGGCACACATGCCCCCTGCAAAGTCTCTAGCTTGTTCAAAACCTTTACGGTCTTTGACCCATAAATTACAGCGCGGACTACGGATTGAGACAGAACACTGATTAAGCCAATTACGGATTGTGATTAGGATCCCGGGATTTTGGACAGGCTAGAAAGTAATGATACGGTTGACGGTCCTCTCCAAATTGGAGGTTCGCTTCGCCTCTGATTTGTATTGAATGAGTTTGCCTATTTCCTTTTTTTGTGTTGTTTTTGTACTCCTTTGGTTTGAAGGTGTCCAACGTAGGCCTTGGACTATGGATCCGGGTAAACTACCAGTGTTTTGCTTGCAAATTGAATGGGCGATTGCTCGGTTGACTGGCTGGCAATTTTGGCTGGGATTGTTAGAGTGGCTGGTGAAATGTGCAGTGAGTACGCAGGTGCGTTGGTTGTCGTTGGCCCGGCTTGCGTTCCCATGGCTGGGTGGGGGGTTTCTTGCGGCCAGGAGATTCGAGAAAAGGCTGGAGGTGGAGTGCCGGGGCTCCAGCCTTCGGATAGACGGAGGTCTTGTCTCAATGTGGCGCCCATGGGGAGAGTAGAGCACCAACGCAGCCCGGTACTTGAGCCACCTTGGAGTTTAGGTCCGGATGGTCCGGATGGGGTGCCTCGAGCCACTAGGATGGACACTTTCAAGTTCGTGGCAATGGATATGGACAAGTGAATAGAGTTGTTTGAAGAGAAGCCTATACATATATATATATATTATGTGTGACGTCTGTTTGTTTGTGTCTTTGTGTGCGTGTGCTCTTTTAACTATCCCAGGAATGGTATCCGGAGACATAGCACGGCCACTGCACTCGAGCAAAGCAGCTGCAATTATGGAGCCCCTTCTTTGAGATGGGTGAGCCACATCGATGCAGATTGTACCCATCCTTTAATATGCTTGATTATATAGCACAGCGGATCTGGCAATTTGCAATTCATGATCATGTTTCCTTTGCCGTCGGAGATCCTAGACGAAACCGGCCGATTTCAAGGATTGTAACCATTGGGCAACAAGGAACAGTCGGAAGGAATTCGTCCAAATGGGTTGGTATTATGGCTTGTTCCAGTGAACATGGCATTGCCATGACCAATAATTAGCTTAGGATGCGGAGCATGCAGGCTTGTGAATGGCATGTTGCGCATGCCTGCGAGCTTTTGGCTAAAGCTGTGAGCTTGACTCCGGGAGCATGACAGATGCTTGGCGCCGACATGGCAGGTCATTTCTCGGTGAATGTGGCAGAAGTGATATCGCAAATTCACTCTCGTATGTTCAAAAAACAAAACCAAGGGCAGTCAACAAATTGGCACTCATGCTATTTATGTCATGTCACATTTGGCGGCTTCCTTTTACGGAGACGTCAGAGTTCCGGCATGAGTGATACAAGCCCAGGATTCCGAGGAGATCGAAGAGCGGGTGGGCGCTCTCATTGGGCTTCTGAAAGGCAAGGATGACGCCAAGATCAAGGCCTGCGGCGAAAAGATCGCGAATGACGCCTGGGACAATGAAGCCTGGTTTGAGCCGGAGCAGATGTCGGACATGCTTCTCGGCGATGTGGAATCCCTTCTCCCTAATGCTAAGCGTACCCCTAATACTAAAACCAACAAACTTTTGAAAATCCCAAATCCGGGAATACTACTCTTAGAATAGCCAATACTAAACCAATTCCAAAGTAGGTATTTTCTCGCCCGGGTCAAATCATGTCCTATTACGGGGACCCCGGAGTACGTTTTCTTTGGTTACGGTTGTACTACAAAGTTGCGACGTTCGACTGTCGAGCCGGAGCTCCGGGAGTACGTTCTCTTTACTACGGCTGTACTATAAAGTTGCGACTTTCGAGCCGGAGCTCCGGGAGTACGTTTCCTTACTACCTGGAAAGCCGTATGGCAATTTTGTTTTCGGACGGAACCCGTATTTGGATCGTTTTTCCCGTATGGTCATTTTTGCTGGCCGGTGGCCGTATTGCCACTTTCGAGCTGGAGCTCTGGGAGTACTTTTCTTTGCTACGGCTGTGCTACAAAGTTACGGCTTTCGAGCCGGAGCTCCGGGCGTACGTTTCCTCTACTACGGCTTTACTACAACGGTGCGGCTTTCGAGCCGGAGCTCCGGGAGTACGTTTCCTTTACTACGGCTGTGCTACAAAGTTGCGACTTTCGAGCCGGAGCTCCGGGAGCACGGTTCTCCACAAACGAACAGGGGCCCCCTACTGCTAAAAGCGGTCTTTCCCGGGGGTACTTACTTTTGTATTGGGGGAGGGGGCGGGGGGCGGTTCAGCATTAGGGGGAAGGGATTACTGGCACTATGTTTTTTACGGGTCCAACATGCATCAAGGACTCCATGTAGGCAAATACCTGAGTTCACACAAGTCTTCCATTCGTTTCTGGCCTTTCTGCGCCCTGCTGGCACACCAATTCTGCGTGGCCAGGCCACCGGAATTTGCATTGCTTGCGGTGGTTTGAATTGTTTTTGCCCACTAACCTATGTGAATCACGAAATCAAGCCACCAATTTAGGGGACAGGCTTTCAATCAGAGCCAACCAAACTCCAACTACGTAGCCTTCCACTGGCTTCCGTCATAAGCTGCAGCTTGCCGTGTGCAGTCAGCACCTGGACCTTGATGGCGTACCAAACAGATGCCTTGACAACCGGGAACTTCGCCTCACCACTGTTTGCCCTCTGGACAAACCGACGAACCGATGATGGTTACAACGCTGGACCACACGAGGTAATTGCCTAGGAGCCGCAGATGTGGGATGCGCTGACATTGTATTGCTGCACCGGCCAATCAACCAAGGTGCAGCAATTTGAAGATAACATTCAAGCAGAGCGGTGTTCGACGAGAAAACAATTGCGGCATACTTAACATGAACAATCCTCAAAGCCATACATACCTGCAACTTTGCAACGGCCGTCCATTGCCATCCAAAGGGCCACGACTTAGGCTTCACACCTGGCTGGATGCTTGCATTGCGGGCCGCCGCTTGGTGACATCCCGCTGCGGCCGTGTGATCGGGGTTGGGGGGCAGAGCCTCTCGTGGAGCTGCAACACGCAGAGTTTGTGGTGAAACCTTCATTTAATTGAGTTTACTGTGAGCCTTGGTGCTTGGAGCCAGCACCGTACATTGACCCCTGGATGGCCCGCAGATTTTGAGCTTATATATAGTTTGACGTATGAGGCTCAAGACAAGGCTTCTTCCAAACTTCAGTTCAGCCTTTCAGCACTTTCATCAACCACACACTACCGGAGGCACACGCTGGTTCTGCTTGCTCATGTTGCCGGTCCAAGTGAGATTGGACCACCCCCCCAAATGCCGTGCAACAGCTGGAGCTGTATGACAAGGTAGATCAGCTGTCCTGTAGGAAGATCGCCTTCAGACTATGAATCCGGGTCTCGAGGTGACGACGAGGTCCTGGACGTGACGGCCAAAGCCCTGCAATTCAGCAAGGTGGAGGACGGCTCCGTTCATCCGAAGCTGCCCGAGGCAGGGGTAAAGCTTGACGATCCCATAAGGATCAAGGATCGACTAATCGACTCAAAGTCTGTTGGTGTGAGGGTTAGTCAGTTGATTCGGGTGCAGGAATGTGTATTTGCAAGGTTTCTATTCAGATACGTCGGTGTGCGCGGATCGCAGATCTTCCAGAAAGTGACGAAAGCCCTGCACAAGCCCGGGGCGAAGCACATGGAGTACATGCGCCTCGCACCAATGCGAAAAATCGCCGGTGAAGCGCTCGCTGGCCGTGAAGGCTTGTTTTCGAAAACAACGAGGGGAGCGCGTCTGTTGCACAAGATCGGGACATTGACAAGTGGGTAAGCTCACATCAACAAGTGTTCCACCAAACTCAAGCGAAGGCTTTGAGGATCATGCCTGAGGCCCAGAAAGGAGGAGAAAAACGGGGTAGAGCCCACTTTGGCTTGCGACTGCACCGAGGTTCAACCTGCGAGTGCAGCCGATGAAATTCACCGGGGACCCCAAGCTGTATCCAGTGCTGGCCGAGTGCCTGGAACACGAAAAAGCGGACATCATCCACGACGCTGAGCCGAGCATCCCATGATTTGGCGATGAGTTGTTTAATGGGGAACCTCCGAAAAGTGGTTGGTGGACGTAAATCCCCACCTAAATGATGCCACCAAAGGGCCCCTAATTAAAAGTTCATACCATTTGATCAACACGCAATCCTGTCTAGGAAGCTCAACGGAGCACTTTAGCTCCATGTAGTTCCTTGCCTTGTTTACATCGCATGGATGACACTGCCGGTGAAGCACTGCGTTCAAGGGACAGTTGATGAGAAACTATTAATTCGATGATCTTGTTGCTTTTGTTTTTTCGAGGTGTTTTGCAGGTTGGCTACAAAGACGGCCAGACATCCGTTGGAAGTCCGAAATGAGCTATTCGTCAAACAAAGCCTGACACACACGATCTATACCGGTGGAGCAAGATCTATGCTTGAAATTTACTCCCCACATATGAGAGATGGGATAGGCATGTATTCGAAGTGCTGGACACATGCAGCACACATATTCCGCAGCTGTGCTGAGAACATTTGGAAAACACATGCTGCTGCTTAACATGTACTGAACCAGGCTAGACAAAACAGACAGCTGGGGCATACTGGAAACGAGCTAAACATAATATGTGGGAACTAAGTTTGATATGCGCTAGCCATATGGTAGAGACATGTTAGACAAATGTCAGGGCTATATCAGGCAAATCGACATCTGGTGGGATGAAATAAATGCTGTAAATAAAATGTCTTTGCTGGTCATATTCTGTCTATACGCTAAGAACGCAGCAAACACAGGCTAGGACCATACAAAGTCTGCTACACATTTGATTGTTTCTTTCAAACAAGTAGCCACACATGCTGGCTATAGACCAAACATTTGCGAACCATTCATTAGAAACACTAACACATAGCAAACACATATTAGACACATGCAAGGCACTTGCTACATTGGACACATGCTAGGTCTATGCTACAAATCCAACATATAAGCATCTTCGAATGTTATTTCAATCATGCTATGCATATATTTACCAAGGATATGCTAAACACATACCAAGCACTGGCTGGGGACATGTTTATGTTAGATTTCCGTTGGGCATATTATGAAATACGAATAGACACGGGCTATGCATACACTAAACATTTGCGGCATGTTCCCTTCAAGATACATTCGCACATGCTCTCAACCAAGCACTTCGGGAAGCAACACTTCGCCTGTCAAGAACCCGAGTGCGCTCGAAGGACGGCCTGGATCTCATTTGTTCCATGGCCTTCATGCATATGTACGACGGCATTCCGGACGAGGAGGCGGCAGCGATCTTCAAGGACTTGGTGGTCCCCCACGCCAAGTTTCTGCTCAGCTTGCTGCCGAGTCTTGGAACTCAATTTGATTGGCTCGCAGAGTCGAAATTTCCAAGCCAGGTATCCTCAGCAACTTGGAGATAGGTCCCCCCCAGATAGGTCCACCTTGTCCGGAAGTCTCGCTCTTAGCCGCTCCATGGAGCCCTCACCATCCCGCTTTTTGGAGAAGAGCACCGGTCCAACCGCGAGCTTCCACCCTCAAAACCCACCACAGCCCCAATGGTTTTCAGCTAGCAAACAAGACCCCGTACATTCTGATTATTGACGATTCGGACTGGCCCTTGTTTGCCTGCGTGCTTTCCCCGGCGCCAATCATTGTTTGTTTTGGTTTTGCCATGGCATCGCCGTTCGTATCTTCCTTCTCGGGTGCATCAAATGCGTTTGCGCTGCACTTCAGGAAGTACAAGCCTGGCGACATGGAGATGTCCAAGAGGCTGGAGAATTGGTCGGACTCTTCGAACTTCTCAGAGCACCAAAGGAGTCAAAATATGATTCTTGCTTTTGCTCGTTGCGTTGATGAACTCGAAGTAGGGCATTGGACAATGTCTAGATGCAACAAGAGAGGACATGCTCAGTCAGGCAGATTCAGGTCACACATTTGCGGTGCTTGGAGGGCGTCTCAGCAAAGGGTAGGTTTTAGGTGCCGCAGCCGCGTTCGGGAAAAGCGGTGCGTGCTTTTGTTTCCGTGCATTGCATGTTTGCATATGCGCGTGCGGGCACGTTCGCATGACCCCCTGACTTGACAAGACATGAGCAGTGTGAATGGTTAAGTTCTTGGATTGAGCAAACAACGCCAAAGAAGTCTGTGCAGGCAGGATAGGCCTGGAGTAATGTTGACCCCATATAAATCAACCCCAGTTTATCAATAGGGGGTGTTCCCCTCCAAAAGTGATGATTCCCCACTTCACAGACAACCCCCTAATCATAAAGTGGGGTTGATTAATATGGTGTCAACATGATGGGCCGACCGATGAGTTTGCGCAGGCTTGCCAACAAGCTCTCCTACGCGCGAAACCTTTTCCAGTCGGCGTTCCTTTTCTGCACCCATTTGGCGCTGCGCCCCAAGGCGGGAAGTGGGGGCAAGCCCTGGTTGCAAGGGAGAGCTTCAAGTGAGCCTAGCTGCATGTTGCACGTGTTTCTCCCCAGCAATCATTCAAAGCTTCAGGACTTCCCAAAGGCCAGCGCAGCCATCGCAGTGCCCACGCTGGTCATGGAGCTCCAGGAGCGAGCGTCGTGACGAGTTCTCAGACATGTTGCACGACTTTGACAAGCAGCTTGGGCATGGAAGTGAACACAGTGTTGCGTGTGGGACACGTTCTTAAACCCGTTTTTGGCCGTCACAAACCTGTAGTCAAAGTCTATAATGGAGATCCTATCCAGTGAGCCATGACAATCTACATATTTTGAGGAAGATTGGCATGCGGATCAAAAGCATTGAAGCATGCTGGTTGGGAGTTCCGGCCTTTGCAAGCTTTGCCCTTGGTATTGCATCATGGCTTCCCTGCCTGCATGTCGCTGGACCGCTGGACTGGACTGTCAGGAGAAGGTCGCAAGCCTGAAGCCCAAGCCCAAGGAGCAGGACGAGCGCTGCGTGCTGGAGCGTAAAATGACTTTGGCTGGCTCGCCATTCTCAGGCTGTGCTTTCATTCTAGTTCGCTTGTGCGTGCGCGTGTGGGTGTGAATGTGTGCGGGAGGGGTATTTGTTTCAGTTTTTTTTTCCCCCGTGTTTTTTTGTTTTTGTCGCTTTTGGCTTCTTGGCTTCTGGCTTCTTGGCTTTTTGGCTTTGGCTTTCGCATCCTCTGCATTCCCAGTTCCTCTTTGGCAGGTGGCGTTTTGGCTTTTGCGGCTTTTCCCTGGTTTATGTGGCTTTTGGTGGCTTTGGCTTTTCGCATCCTTTGCTTTCCCAGTTCCTCTCCGGGCTTTTTGGCTTTTTGCACCCTTACCCCTGCTACTTGGTAAGTTTTTGGCGGAGATTTAATTGCACCTCTATTTGAATCGTCACTTTTTGGAACACCCAATTTCGCGAGAAAATGCTGTAAAATACGACAGTTTATGTAATCTATGCATGTATATGCATGTTTGTAGCTGCCGCCCCCCACCAACCCCCCCGCTACTTTTTTTGTTGTTGCAGGGATTGAATTGCGCCCCTATTTCAATCATCATTTTTTCGAACTCGTTAACCCACCCGCTACTTTTTGTATTTTTGACCCACGATTTGTTGGTGATGCTGGGGATGTTGGTGAAAACGATGCTGGGGGTGTTGTGTGTGTGTGTGTGTGTGCGTGTGTGCGTGTGTGCGCGTGTGCGTGTGTGCGTGTGGGTGGTGCGTGCACGTCAATGTGTGCGTGCCGGCGTGCCTGCGTGCCTGCGTGCCTGCGTGCCTGCGTGCCTGCGTGCCTGCGTGCCTGCGTGCCTGCGTGCCTGCGTGCCTGCGTGCCTGCGTGCCTGCTCGTGTGCGTGAGCGTGCATGTTTTGTGTTCTATTGACCATTTGTTTGTAGGGGGTCCAGAAGTCGGGCGCTCCAAAATTCAGAAAACGGGCGCGAAATTCAGACAAACAGTTCAGACGACATGAAAACAAGAACGCCAAACTCAGAGAACACAACCGCACAATTCAGACAACGGATCGGGATGGTCAGCACGGTTGCGAAGCCTTTTCGCACCTCACCAATTCATCGGACCATCATGTTTGGTGGTTCCGATGGACAGGACGTTCAGGCATGGTTGGGATGGTCGGGGACAGTCGGGAAGGTCGGGATGGTTGGGATCGGCTGCAAAACGATATGGTCGCAAAAATGTTGGCTGTCGGCCGAGCATTGGTCGAATTTCACATCTCTTTCGGCCGAATTGCACAAATGCGCCGGTCGAGATTGACATTCAACTTCACATCTGTGTCGCCCGATCATGTCGGCCGAATTTCACCTGAACCGCTCCAAGTCCAGTCAAGTTGATGCTCCCGCTGAGATCCGGCGAGTTTCAATGCGTTGATTTGCGGAACTCGGCTTGGACTCGTGGGAATGCCGAGTTCTTCTCAAATCATTGGATGCTTTTGGACCAACCTGGCGCTTGCTGGGGCAAAGACTCGTAATGCAGTCACATTCTGTTCGCATGCACTGATGGCCCGTTCTTTCAGTCAGGACCTCAAGGAGCAGCTGAAGATGTTCGCAGAGGGCTGCACCCAGCTGCTGAGCCAAATGCCCAAGCCTGCCGCGGGCAGCTCCACGGATCCCCTGAAGGAGAGAGCGCGGGCGTTTTCAGGCACGGCATGGCAAAAGGAGCCAAACAGCCCTTCGGTCTTGCATTCCATGGAGAAGCAAATGATGCCAGGCCTCAAGACTCTACGACTCTAAGACTCTAAGAGACTCTAAGACCCCAAGTGTCAACACGGGGCTGGGTTTTGTTCTTTGAGATCTTATTTTCGGGCATGGGCCATTTAAGGAGAACGCTCACCGGTCCAGTGCCATTTGGAAAGTCCAGTGCCTGGAGCTGTTCCAGCCTCATCTCCACGCGCTGTGCTTTTCAACGATTGAACAAGCGCTGACGGGGCCTCCACAGTGCCAACAGGCAGTGATATGGCGAACTACACATTTGGCACCAACGAGTGGCGTGCTTTCTCCGGAATCTATCGGTTGGAATTGTCCAGGCCTTGTATCAGACTGCGACTTGGCACCGACTTGATGGCCCCGGGTTGAGATGCAGGTCTCTAGTGGCCGGGGATCTCTGAAAATTTGGACGTTAAGCCCCAGGATGCCCAGCAGTACCTGAAAGCTTTGGGCACCGTGAGCGACTCCGATTCCCTGAGCCATGGCTTGGATTGCCATGTCACGAGCGCTGGCGGCGCCATTTTGGTGTGTCCGGAATTGTGTTGTCCAAGGAATGGGATCTTGAAGATGATGATGAGCAGCACGGATCCAAAGGTTCTTGATCTTGTCTTCCAGAAGAGCAGTATGGACACTCTCTTCAAAGCCCTGGAGCGAGCCGCCCAGCTTTTGGAGCAGTGAACTTTTCCCTTCGCTGCTTTGAGCCCTTTAGCGCTTGGCCCATGGATCCCGTGGCTTCTTGGCTCGAGGTGAAGCGGGACGACACGAGCGAAGTGAACCGAACCTTTTCTGCGCTGTTCGTCTTCGCCGCGGAGCATCGGCCGAAACTCGTGGATGCCGTGGGCGACAGGATGCTGGACGTGTACATGTCGATCAACCCGGCCTGGAACAACCCTAGGACTGCTCTGACCCGCACCACCTTGAAGCATGAAGTTGGGACAGGGTGGGTGGGCTGAATGCGTGTCAGGAGCAACCTCGCATTTTTGCCCTAACTTGTCTACCTCAAAGTGATGGCTTGCAAATGGTCGGAGTCCACGGCTTCCCAGACTTGAGGCGCGCCTTGCGCAGGATCTTTGTGGATGCGCTGCTGACGCACTGCCCCAGCACCGCCGCCAAGCTCTGGACCAAGATGCCGCTTTGGATGAAGGCCATCCACTCGGCCAAGGGCAGCGCCATGATGGACGGTGTGCTCTACCAGGTACTTCATGCCATCGAGGGCCTGCCGAAGGTGTTGGAAGGAAAGGAGCTGGAAGAATTCTGCAAGAAGAACATCGAGATTGCGAACTTGGGCAAGGGAACAACCATGGACGCTCAGATGGCATTGGAGTGCAGCTGGGAACTGCAATCTTGGCCGCCCAGAACTTTGTGGTAAGCAGTGCACCTGTATAGCAGAAGTTAGCTTGTTTTCGTTGCATGTCTTCCTGGGTGTTGCGTGGTAAAATTCAGCTGCTTTCAGTGTATTTTCATGTAGGCTGCGTGAGAATCGCTCAATTGCAAGGAGGCGAGTATGCCTCTTATTGGCGTGGATTAGTTTATTTGTATCAGAAGAGAAAGATGAGGAGCAGGAAACAGGTCCCCCCAGGATGTTGGCTTGGCCATGTATATACTGTACCTTTACCACTTGGGCCAAAAGACGCCCTGGTTTGGGTCAATGGGATGGTCGTTTTTGGTAAAGTTGGCCCAAAGAAACTCTGATCAAAGGATCTCTGACGCTGAGTAGTTGGTAGCGCTACAAGCAACAGCCAATGACAGGAAGCCTGGTTTTTTTGACCCTCACTCACAGGTTGTTTCTTTGGTTCCCATTTTGACGTAATCGCAGCCTAGGAAGACAGCGTCAAGAGCTCTGCAGTGGTGGCCATGCGTGGAGTGGTGTCGAAGGACAAGGCCCGCATTTCCAAGGAGGTTCTCGACTGGGTCCAGGCGCGTTGGCAGGGTCGATGTTGAGCCACCGAAGTGACCTGAATTGGGCAGCGTCTTGTTTTTCTGGAATGAAGGGCTTATACCAAAAAGGGAACTGCATCATGTTTTCGTAGGCAATCTAGTTGGGGCATAGGCTCGCCTATGCATTTCCCCGTGTAGGCAAGCCTGTATGTGTTTAAAGCTTTCAGTTTCGCAGTGGTTGAGGCCACACGAGGGAGAGTGGCTACATGGTAGCTATGAGATTTGCATCGCTGCGTGTTAGCCATCTCTCAGAAAGTCTGGCCTCGATTTTTCAAAACAGAGTTGCCTCCATCCGCGTAGGCTCCCGCGTAGGGTTCCGCGCAGGCTCTCGCGTAGGCTCTAGGCTCATTTCGTGAAGCTGTCCCTTTCCGGGCGGCCACTGCCGCTGCTCATGTTAAGCCTCCCCTTTTAGTTTGCAACTGCCTACTGGTGCGCCTCGAGAACTACACTTGTGCTGAAAGGTTGCGAGTTTGGAGCTGGAGCTGTTAAAGTGCATTTCGCGTGTCACAGTATTAAACTCACAAGCCGCAAGCCGGGCAATGAATGACGCGGAGCAGCGGGCATGCAGCTTGCGTAGGCATGCGCGTAGGCGAAGAAGACACAAATACCCGCACTTAGGCACCCCTTGCCGCCGCGAAGGCTTTGCGTAGGCATTCGCGCAGGCGTGTGTGTAGCACACAGGCCCCGATCGCCCAAAAAGCACCTGCCCAATGGGAATGGTAGCATTTTTTTGCAATTGTTGTGCTACCGAAACATCGCCAGGAGCCCGTTCAAAAAGGCAGATTTCAATGTGATCGAGTAAGGCCGCAATGCCATGGGTCGTGGGCCATGTTCAAAGGTGCGTGGCTGATCACCGATTTACTGTGCGAGAAAACAAAGCAATGACCTGGACCGGAGGACCCTTTAGTGTTTTTTCCTTATTGAATGGGATTTGTGACTTGAGCCACAACAGTTTCGAGATACTCTGTGGTCATCGGGTATTCAAATTTCTGAGAGTGCCAGACGCGGTGAATAGCACCCACGTGGTTTGATTGGGATGCTCAACGCTGTGATTTCGGTCTCCTTTTGTGGACTGAGCTTGCATGTTTGGGCTTTAGTGCTTGAGCGCTCTCTGCCATGTTTCTTGGCTTCTCCGGGGTGCAGCTTGATTACTGAACTCATTTCGTATCTCAGTAGCAATTGGAGCCACTGGGGGGAGGCGGGGGCCTCTTGGCCTTTTTGCTGAACTTGTGAGCCTGCTGCTTGCAGCAGAATAAGCCTGACAGGAGCAAGAACTTCCAATGATGAACGCAGGAGCGACCTTTGTCACCCACCCTTGCGCATAGGTTAAGAAACGACGTTCGGGATGGCCAAGCGCCGCTAAGGAAAATCAACCAACCTGACAGAAACGAAGAATCAGCGGGCTTCACCGCTGGCTTTCGCGGATGTTCGGAATGCGGAGAGGTGCTGAAGCAGGGCGAGGGCTACACCAAGAGCGCCGCGGAGGCCTTCATGGACCTCTACGAGGGCCGCAGCCTGGAGGGCGCCTATGAGCAGATCAACCAGCTGAATCTCAACTTCAAGGAGGCAGTCCTGCAATGCGCTTATCCATATTGATATACAGTTGTTAATGTATTCATGTCATGCACATGTAAATACACAAGTGTTGTATGACATATATATATATATGTACATATATATATATATCTACACATTATACAAATGCTTTAGATTGGAATGTTCTTTCATATTAAGCGCCCCTGCTTTCACATGTGCACTTGAAGGGGTCAGATGAGGTGAGGAATCCTTGCGGTATATTCTGCGATTCGGGTTGGGGCATCGTCAGAGTGGTCCACCTCCAGGGGCCACGCCATGATCTTGACAGCCTGGTGCAGGGCAAGAGGTTGATAGTTCTCCTGTTTCTGCAGGCTGAGCATGTCCTGCTGTAGTTTAAAAGCACAGGCTGCTGCTGCCAACTATTATTTCTTGCGGGTTGTGGTGTAGACATCATTGACGATGTGTGCTCAACTTGTTACTGCGCATTGTAAGCACAGGGACATTGTCTCTGAGGCAAGATTCCACTTATTTGTACATCTGAGAGAAGCGTTATCCACAGCATCGGAGGTTTGGCAACTATTTGTCAGCAACAACTACGGGCTGTGTTTTGTCGAGTTGCTAGGCCCTAGGCTCACATTGTAGATACGGGGCTTTGTTTGTGGCACTGAATATAGGGAAAGGCGCCTGATATGCAAAAGCCTGAAGGACAGAGTGGCTCACATTGGCACACTCACCAATCAAATGGTCGGCTCGGCATGGTCCTGCTTCCGGAGCATAACACACACACACACACCTGTGGCAAAGGAGCAGGATCCTGAAGCTAAGGGGAGGTGCATTTGCAGGGCTATCTCAACAGAAATGCGAGCTTTGCAGGGAGGATATGTACAAGCGAAGGGCAAGAAGAAGAAGAAGAAGAAGAAGAAGAAGAAGAAGAAGAAGAAGAAGAAGAAGAAGAAGATTAAGTCAACTGGAGGAAGTGGAGCCATGGTGTTTGGTACTGCCTTGGACTCATTCCCGTAAAGGGCTGCAGGGTTTACAGTTGTTCGGGATGCCATTGATCTGACTCCCTGCAACCTGTTTAGTCACATTGGGTTCTTTGGCAGGCATGTGGAGACATGGAGAGCCTGAAGAAGTATGTGGATGACAACGTGTCGGATCTCAAGGATTTCATCGCATCGGTGGCAAAGAAGCTACCTATGCCTGTGAAGTTTACCTCCGAGGAAAAGTGGCTCGGCGCAAGTGGAGTAGATAGCTCGAAAAAAAGAACCGAGTTCTTTATGAGACTCCGTGCTGCAATGTCTGGTCCGGCTTTGTATAAATGCAAGGCGGACCGGGTTGGTTTTTCGTGCAATCCGTCCTACAATCTTACAGCAGTTTGCCTGTATCCATTCTCACTCACTACCGTTTCCCACCTTTTCTGGGCAAACAGGAGGTCGGGGTCTTAGGATGTCACATTGTGAGATGGCGAGAAGCTTCTAAATATAAGAATACTTGAACAGTTCTTCGTATAACATGCCGTCCTGGTTGCATTTATTTTCATCCAGTCAGTTGGTGAGTTTGCGTTTGCTTGGAGCAACCAAACCTTACTGCTGCCGCAAACATATGGTTGGATGTTTGCCGGTGTCCGGCCCGTTTCGCCTTTTCGTTTGGTCAAATGAACAGCTCTTTTATTTGTGTTTTATTAAACGTCAAGCCTGCAGTGCGAGCAGGACTAGTCAAGTGCCGGGCTTGCATGTAAGTGTGCATGAACACGTATGACGTGAGGCTGTTCGCTGAAGAAACGAGGGGTCACTGCACATGGGAGAACTTGCTCTTTTGCTTGCCTTGAAACATGCCCCTTGAAGCAAAGGAGCGCCATGCTTCTGAATTCACGTTACCACTTTCACTTCCGTAGAGGTGGTGGCGACTGCAATCTTTCTCCTTGCGTTTCTTTCCCAGCTTCGAATGTGGCAGGCAGGTTGCACCAGAAATCATCGCAACGGCTGAAACTACTGGACTGATTACTAGCAGATAGTGACAAGCCCAATCTACAAGCGCTTAGTGTGTGATCCAGGCAAAATAAATAGGGTGACCAGGGCTGGCTACAAGCATGTACATTCCGGGGAAAACGTTTGCTCAAGCTGGTTATCCCGAGACTTTTGAAGATGTGATTGCGGGGATAGACAACATCCGATAAAACTTACGCTAAGGTTTTGGTACATCAGTCTGTACCTGAATTCCTTCATGAGCAGTAAGATGGGGGTATCGCAGCCAAGTTCTACACCACCTCTCCTTAGCGGACCGAAGGTTTTGCAACCGTGTTCCATGGAGAGCAGGAGGGAAGGTCACCGATTCAGGTACTTGGTGAAGAAAGCCATCCTTCTGCACTTCGAGTGTCAAGCGCCGATCCCGAGCCGCTACTGCGCTCTGCCGCAGAAGGCCCACCTGATGTGATGTGCAGCGCGTTCACGTGTTCCAGTGCTTCTTTTTTTTGCGGCCCGCTGCACACAGTTGGGCAGGTCAAGGACCCGTGTTGTGACGATTATGTTTCAACATTTATTCCAGCGAATGTATAGACGTGACATTGTGCCGTACTTCAGATTTTCAGCGATTCTGATCACCCTCCCAGGAAGAACATCCAGAGAAACCAGGTAAGATCAGGTGGAAGGTATGCGACAAGGAATTCAATGAGAGGAGATCCACGGGAGCACTTGCCCGATGTACCGTATCGCAAGAAACGCCGTGTCGCCAGCCCAAGGCATCGCCCCCCTCTCTGGAGCAATTCCACTGAGCCAGTTCTCAGACCTCAGTTTGTAGGTAGCGCAACAAAGAAAGTAACAAGTCACGTTTTTTTTTTTTAAAAAAATTCCAATGTTTGGATGGCTCCGAGTTTTTTTTTCTTTCCCTGTGCCTGGGCTGGTGGCATGGGCAGGCCACCTACACCACCGAGACCCAGGAGTGGGCCCGGTGGCTGAAGATGGGGCTCAGCGCCGCGAAGCTGGGGAAGTCGGTTCTGAGTGCGGCCGCTCGGCTGTGCTCGGGTGGGGTGGGGTGGGGTGGGGGGCGCAGGGTGGGGGCCCTGAGGCGAGTACGGGAAAGAGGCTACACGCGCCAAAAACGACCTAGTTAGGTCAGGTGCTGAACCCTTGTGGGTGTCTTGCGCAAAATATGTTCGCATGAGTCGCCTTCGTGCATATATTCGATGCCTGACATTGATGGCATGATATCATGATTTTGAGCTGCTGACAATGATTTTGTTGCGATACTGTATTTCTGGCGATCATGTTTAAACAGGGCTCAGGATGGATTTGTGGGCGTGGTAGACTGATTTCTCTCACGATCCAGCAAAGTGCTTCTGGTGTCACCCTAATCCCGCTCTGAATGTACCCTAAATCACAGCGAATTCCAAGACCAAGCCTACATCTACCCAAAATCGACACTGGACAGCGAACTTGCCCACAAAACAAGCATTGCAGAGTGGCAGAGGAACGCTCCAGCATAGCATGTTGCAGCAGGTGAAATGGACATGAGGATGTCACAGAAAACGTCAAAGTCCAAGCCCAAGGATCTGCTTCAAAAGGGCTGCAGCCGCCGCTTCGAAGCAATCAATGGCGCATGGGAAGGACCTCGGGTGCGATCGCATGCGAAGTGCGCCCGAGAGCGCCGGACACCTCGCGACGGAAGCCTCGGCCTTGCCGCAAGCGGCGCAGCGCGAACTCACGGGGGATAGCATCCGGATTCTCGGACGTTGTGACGGGGCCGCAGCAGCTTTGAGAAACACAGCTGGCACAGTCGCAGCCACCGTCTGTTTGGCTGTGCCGGAACATTTGCGCTCGATGCCGTCGGCGGTTTGCCCCAGAACACCGGCCTTCCTTGTAGCCTGATCGGCACGTCTTAGAACACCCCGTATAAGTTCCGAAGCCGCGGAGTTTCTCAGGTCTCCCCAAGAAGCATTAGGCGCATTTGGGACGTTACGTGACGTTACCCACGGGCATTGAGTTGTTTGGCACTGTCAGGAAGCCATTACTGACCTGCCTGGCGTGGTGGATCAAGTCAAGGGGCTCTACAGTATGTACAAGAAGCTTGGTCAGCACCAGACCCCAGGCTAGGCAATGAGTCAGCATGGCTTATTGCTTTGTACAAAGAGACCAACAGCAATCCGATCGTTGTTGTGTTCTTTTTCTTATTCTTGGTCCTTGCTTCCGCTTTCATTTCCTCTCTGTTTTTTGTATGTTTCTTTCATCTTTCCCTTCTTTCTGTCTGTTTATCTACTTGCTTGTCTTTCTGTCCGCTTGCCGTCTCTCCCTCACTCTCTCTTTCTCTCATTCTCTTGGTTTGTCTCTGTCTTTCTCTTTCTCTTTCTCTCTTTCTCTCTTTCCCTCTTGCTCTCTTTCTCCCTTTCTCTCTTTTTATCTTTCTTGCTTTCTTGCCTTCTTGCTTTATTTCTTGCTTTATTTCTTGCTTTATTTCTTGCTTTATGTCTTTCTTTCTTTCGTTCTTTCTTTCTTTCTTTCTTTCTTTCTTTTTTTCTTTCGTTCTTTCTTTCTTTCTTTCTTTCTTTCTTTCTTTCTTTCTTTCTTTCTTTCTCTCCTTTTTTGTCTCTCTTTCTCTTATTCCTTTGTCCTCCTTCTCTCTTTCTCTAGTTCCCGCTGACACATCTTCTCTGCAGGAGGGCAACATTTGGCGTCATTTGGGTTGCCCGGTTTGCCTTGCTTGATCCGAGGTTTCGGAAATGCTGAAATGCTCATTGGCTTGATCCCTGTGGTCACTGTTTTGTGTTGATATGGCTTGACCTTCAATTGGCTCTCTGATCTTGGCCCTCGCTTGTTCCTGCTGCTTGGCTGCTTTTGTTGGTTTTGGCCCGTCACAACAGCTTTCCAGACATTTTCCACAGACAATAAACGCCTCCCCCCCCCGTCTCGCCCTTCCCAATGTTTTGCGTTTTTTGAGGAGGATGTTCTAATTGATTCCCTGAGGAAGGATGATGGGGAAGACTTTCTGACCTTCATCTCCGAGCCATTTCTGACCTCCAGCGAGCAGGACAAGCTGCTGAACCAGCTCCGGGCGGCCGCCTTCTTCGAGAAGTTCTGCTACGACAATCAGAGTGCCACCTGGCTCTGCGCCAACTGTCATGCCATCTATTTGAAGGCGAGGGGCTTGGCCGACGGAAGACGGAAGACTGCGGTTTTTCTTTCGGTTTTGGGTTGCTTTTTGGTTTGGTTGAACCAAAGCCATAGACCTGGCGTCCTGGCACAACCGGCACCGGCAAGTGGGAAAGGCTTGGCTTTGAAACTTTAGGAGAGCTTCATGGGAGAATCGACCATTTAGTCTTCCATTCAATCCGATTTTTTGTTTCATGGGACACTTTACGGTCAACTTCAGTCGCTGTCGCACGGGGTCCCGTGATTTGTGTCTTTGGTAAAAGCGGGCATGGCCAGCAACTGAGCTTGGAAAGCAGGCCCTGGCATCTGTATAAATGCCAGATGCAGTCAGCCAGAGGTGGCCCACTGGGCTTTGTCAGATCTGATTGTCAGCGAGAAGGTGTTGTTTGTCGACTGGTTTCTGGGTTTTAAGGATCTTGTCACACAAATAGACAAGCAAATGACACACAAGCTTGTTTCTAAGATTCCCTTCACCCAAATGCTGGGAAGCGGCAAGAACCCCATCACCCCCGTTCCAAACCCAATGCCTTGCAGGCGGGGGCCAACCGCAGCCAAGCGGCCCTGGAAGCGGCTGCATCTGAGGCACCGATTGGTCTCCGGCACTGTCAAGAGAATCCAGGACATGAGGTCTGGGTTTTGCGCTTTTTCTGGAGCGACTCCTGGGCACGCAAAAAACAAAGACGAAACAGTAATCCATTCAGTCAGCTAAGCGGTAGGTTGAAGCCGGTTGAAGGCAAAATCCCAGCCAGTAGCTCTGTCTTTGACAACCCGCTCCCTGTTATACTGCCTTCTCACTTGGCGGCGGATTCAAGGAATGCACAGAATAAGACACGTTCACTTGAGCCGTATACGACAGCCTCTGCTGGTCACGATTTAGTGCCGAAACCCTAGGCCTCGAGGTGCTTGAGGCCTACCCAAGGAAGTCAAGGCTGAGCCGTGCTTCGGGAGGGAGTTTGACCCACCCTGCAGGAAACCATGCGAGTTTAACTGACACAAACAGGGCTCTAGCTCGCACATTCAATCCTTTTGAATAGGCTTTCCCCTTTGCACATAAGATCCACAAGTGACTTGGGTGCTGTTGTTTTATGGGCGATGTTTTTCAGAGCAATGCTCGGGGCAGGTGCAGTCCTGTCCACCGGATCTCGCGTGAGGTGCAGTTGCCGATCCCCAGCTGCCGCATGGATGGTCCGGCCGCCTCGCTGCAGGCCCTCACGGGCCCGAGCGCGCTGGGGGGAGCAGAGCTTGCGATGCGAGAGGTCCCATGGGGAGGCTCCAAAGTGGGCGCTGTTGGTCGGTTGTTGACGGGAGGCGGCGGTTGAGGGGATGGTCTGATTTGTTATCGTGTAAGATTTGTCAACTGCGGGAGATGCAAATAAACTCAAGAACCACTCCGCTTGACAAACTTGAGCGTACCGAGCTTCCTCCACAATGCCATCCTGCGTGTTCCTCCTTGCTCTTGCGTGCACCCAGTGTGCATGCGTTTTCTATGAGTTTTCATAGCGAACCACATCAAAAGTGGTTGGCGGGCATGAGCCCCCGCCATGATGATCCAGATTCACAGCTGGTAACCACTCCAAGCTTTTAACAGAGTGTCATGTGGAATGTGACCTAGGATAAATCGGCTGCTCGAGCAGATTAATAAAGCCCCCTGAAATAATGATCGCTGACATCCCTCCAAAAACAAAAACGGAACATCAATCCAACAGAACTCTCCCATCCAAACAAAGAGCTCCAACGAAGGAAGAGTCAATACTAACAATCGTCGGAAGACTCAGTAACCGCCAAAGGGGGGGGGAAAATGACTTGTTGCAGCAGCACTCCCCCCTCAAAAAAAGATAGAACATCATAGAATGGCAGCTCAAATCCAGCAATGCTAAATCACCAATCAAAACAAATGCACTATCCCATCAAGCAATACGAAATCGATTGCAAACGCATACCCAGCAATACGGAATCAAATGGAAACTCAAATTTTGCAATACTAAGACAAATGGAAACTCAAACCCGGCAATACTAGAGTACTAAAGCAAATGGCAACTCAAGTCCAGCCAGTACTAACGCAAATGGAAGCTCAAAGCCAGTAATGCAAAAACAAACTGACGCGCAAGTCCAGCAATACTAAATCAAAAGGACGCTCAAACATGGAAACTCGCAATCAACAGTCCCGCAATGCTAAATCTAATGGAAACTCGCACTCGGCAATGCTAAATTCCCAAGGCAAATGGCAACTCAAGTGCTGTAGTGCCATTGCAAAAGGAAACTCAAGCCCAGGAATACCAAAACAATTAGACACTCAAGTCCAGCAATACTAAAGCAAATGGACACTCAAGTCCATCAATACTAAAGTAAACGTACATTCAATCCCATCAATGCTACAGCAAATGGCAACTCGAACCCATCAATACTAAAGTACTGAAGCAACTGGGACCTCAAACTCAGCAATACTAAGGAAATGGAGGCTGAATCCAACAGTTCCGCATCAAATGGAAACTCACACCCGGCAGTACTAAAGCAAATGGAAAATCAAATCCAGCAATACTAAATTAACTGAAAGCTGAAAATTGGTCTCCGGCACCCAGTTTCTAAGCCAGTTGATTTGGGGGGTCGTCTTTCGGGGTATCTTTGAAGGGTCATCTCGCCAGGACCGTGCGCAGGACACCGCGGGCGCAGTCCTGGAGGCCGACTGTAGACGTAGGTTCTGGGCGTTTCTGTTGCCCAGTGGGTTGCTTCCTTTGTTCAACTTGTTTGGTCTGTTTCGAAGGGTCTGGTTACATGAAAATCTGCAGGACATTGCCGCAAAGCACCCTAAATAAGCTGGTTTCCTGTAGAATTTCCTGCAACCCAACCCTTTGATTTTTGGTTTTAAAGGCAAACCTGCAGGAAAACCACAGCGTTCCCCATTTTCGGTGAGTCGACTGGAATACAGATCAATTCCTCAAGCCGCGTTTTCTGAAATTAATTCACTTGAAGGCAGCGAATCAAGTATAGCTTATGTGGCTGTTTTGCTTGAAGCTGTAGCCAAAAGAGCGGACAGTTTCTTCCAGCACGGCTGCATCGCATTTGGCTGCGTCTCCGGAACCATATATTTGCTGTCACCAAGCTGTCAAAATCGGCACATAGCCATCACACGATATCACACGCAGCGTGACCAGTTATAATTCACGTCAGAGTTTTATTTGGGAAACCTAAGATTGGCTACAGTCGTTCTCTGATTATATCTAGAATGTGTTCGTGAATGGAGTTGCCAAGAAGACCGCAGAACGCCAGTTTTCGCAGGATTACAAGGGGCTGACTGACTATATGTTAGCAACCCATTTGCAGTGAGCTGCGCATTCGTGTTAAGCTACACGTCGCAGGAAGGCAGAAAACACAAGCACCTCTCCAAGCACCCCGCAAAACTAATGCCGTTCCTGTCCATGCCGCTGAAGTTCACGTGTACTTCCAAAGAAGGCTTTCCTTGAGAGCTTGGAAGTAGAATGGCTATGTTAGAAGCTTGCTTGAAACAAATGCGGGTCTACGTTTGTGCATCCTATCCACTACAACACTCTGAACACCGGACTGGCAGGGTCCCCAGATCCCCATGTTGAATCGTGAGGTTTGTGTCTTCGGGGTGTACATCTAGAACCACGCATATTAGTTTGTGTTCTGGCGAAAGGCAAAGATGGGCAGCCAAGATGGGTTGCTCCATTAGTTTTTTCTTTTAACGCAGGCACTGATCTCGCGATTGCATCATGTCGGCAGGGCTGTATTGAGGCACCTGTTGCGAGACTGGCAACTTTTGCACACAGTGCCAGGGGGATGCCGTTGGGATGTGGTTGGAGTAACTCCATACACATAGTAGGCTAGTGCACACATACACACACTGTGGATTGACAAATCCTGCACCAGTTGGGATGGCTAATCATGATTACTGGGATAAACCGCCCACCGCCTGGTGCAGCATTTTGTCCATCCGGGTCCAGCAAGAATCTAAGAAGACTGGCAGTGAAAGAACGCTCGACATTTGTTCAGAGGTCGGATCCTTGCGCAAGACTTGTTTGGAGCGACGCATGGGGGGGCGGGGAGGCTGAAATATTGCTGTCTGAGGTGAAGAAGACCACCATGGCCTGCTGCGATCTCTTCGGGTTCAACATTTGTGCTCCTTCCGAAGAGGAAATCGAGGTGAAGTGAGTAAATTGGAGTGTGAGAGCAGGATCAAGCACACGCAGACGACTTGTGTTCCAGCGCAGTTCCCCAGGTTCTGGTTCGACCCGATTTATATCTCTTTTGCATAGTCTGAGCGGCCTCAGATCCCAATTCGCGACTCCAATTTGCCGAGTTACGTTTTAAGTACAACTTCTTTTGCCCTGGACATATTTTCTCCCCTGGCACAAGATCTGCCGAGAACCCGAGCCAGCCATCATGCTCGTTGAGCCTGAAGGTGGGAAATGAATCAGGTTGGAACTCGGCATTAGGCGCCGATTTCACTAACAAAAAGAGCAAGGCCAGGCAACCAAGTCGGCAAGTGCCAGCCCCACCAAGCAGATGTAGGGAGATGGTGTAAAGGATGCTCTGAACGCCCCCAGCTTTATCTCATTTTATTTCAGTGTCAGTGCAGTTGCTGTAGTTACAGCCTATTTCCACATCACCTTCCGTTGCGGGGCTGATTCAGCTTTCAGGACTTCGGTTCAAGACGCGCACTTGATTTCCCACCACAGCTGGATCACTGAAGGCGAAGAAGTGCCATCCAGAAAATGGTTGCACACCAGTCCGGCATGCGCGCGCGCTGTGCGCAGGAACTGGTCAGTACCCTGGTGCAGGCATATTAGCGTAGGAGGGAGTTCCACACAGGATATTTACATAGCAAGAGCAATGCCGCTTTCAGGAGGTGTTTACAAGCATCAGACATCAGGTTAAAGAGGTTGAGGCACACTTTGCATTCCACCCAACCGAGTGGCTTGCAAATGGCGAACCCTCACATCATGTCAAATTGACTGGATGTATTCACTCGCATGATCACTTTCAGCAAAGTTTTAGTTCGTCCGTGCCCGTGCCGGTAGTCTCTTGGATTTGGTTGTGCTTCCCACAACTCAGGGGCCAAGAGGCAGGCAGCCGGATTTTGAGGACGCCTTGCCAGATGCGCCGCTTGCTGGCACACCAGGTTGTCAGGAAGGCGGTAGCTGCGGGCTCCCTCCCTGCTGACATGGAGGATGTTGCTGTAGTCCAAGATTGTGCATGCCAGAAGGGTCTGGAGCACAAGTGCAGCATAGCACCAGCTTCAGGCAGTAACGTGCTTGTTTCGGCGCTTGCCCACACCTGCCCTAAACTTGTCACTTGGGTCACCAAGCCGTGCCAGGGTTTGGGTGAATGTCGCTGTGTTCTGTTGTCCATGCTCATCCAGCAGAGTTCATTTGTTTCCCGCCCACGGTTTTGCCTTTACCGCAGTTTGATTCCGATTCTTTTGCCGTCAAGTCCAAGAAGCTTGACATCCTGGAGCATATCGTTCGGAAGCAGACACGTTGACCGTTTCGGGATGGCAAACAGTTCGCTATGTACTTACAAAGTCATCATCACAGAGAATCCCATATGCCTGTGCATTGGCTTACTGCTGACCGCCCAAGCAGTTTGGTCATTTTCAGCTTTCGGCACCAGTCGGCAAGAGAGGGATTCCGCAAGTGGCAAGAGGATCCTCTCCAGGTCCTTCCCGAATGGGATGAGATAAATAGCGCGCAGATCTAGACCTGCTGGAAAACGGCGCGAAGGGCTGAGGCTGGTTGGCGCTCCGGGTTTGAGTATTGGACTTCGTAAGAATGGTGCCTCATGGCATCCGGCTTGCATTGAATTGGTTGTGTTAGGACCTGCTGGCCGTGGTGCGCAAGTGTCAATCCGCCATTATACACACCTCGCTCTCTCTCTCTCTCTCTCTCTCTCTCTCTCTCTCTCTCTCTCTCTCTCTCTCTCCTGCATTCTGCACATCACACATACATATACATACACAGGGAAACGCGTACTGTGCTTGTTCACACCATTCGCCTGCTCTACTGTCTCTCCTTTGAACCTTCACCATGGTTTGCTGGCCTCCGACAGGAAAAGACAGCCGTTGAAGGGACCAGGGCTGCACTCAAGCCATTGTTCTGAGCAGGAGTGACGAATACCCATATTGGTGGTGAGATTCGGGAGGATTTAGGTATCTACATCGAAGAAGAACCGTCACCTTACATAAGGCAAGCAACAAGCACCCGTTGTTTGGGCAAGGCCATTTCGTTGTGGAGGATTTCCCATGACACACGGTTTCCGTTGCCCGATGCCTTAGGTTCATTTCCATTTTGCCTCCCAGCGGCCCTGGCGCAGACCAACTCGTTCGAGCCCCTTGGCTGGATGAATGAGTTCCACAAAACCCCGCGCTGGAGCGGCTTTGTGTGGCACTGGTCAGAAGCTGGATCTGTGTTTCTCATATGTTGGTGGGTCAGCTGCGTATCTACATTGGGGGTCAGTTTGCCAGATCCGAACAAGGCATGAAGATGCTTGCTATGCATGAAGATTCAGGATGTCTCAAGTCGATCTGGTGGGCTGGAGAGCATAGCGGACTCGAACATATGACAACTTGAGCCGTGCAAAAGAGAAGTGGAGAGGAGTCCAGCTGCCCCACACCAAGGCATGAGTAGGATCATATCAAGGTCTGACCATCCTTCTGCCATGTGCTCAGGTGGTGGGAGACAACCGGGAATATGCTAGGCAGCTGATCCTTGTCGTCCCGCCATGTCTTTGCAAGCACAAGGCCTTCAAGCTGCATTGGCTTGCTTTGTCCTTGGGGCCTCAAAGGGCCTCAAACCCGTCAATAGAGCTTCCACTTGCTTCTACCTGCTTTCACCCCGATGGATCGTGCCATCCAGAGGCATGGCATTTGCCAGGACAAGATCGAGGAGCTCAAGGTTCAATTCCGGCGGCCTGGCGCACCAGGCCGTTGACTGGGGGCGGGGGAAATGAACATTTTGGACTTGTTACGTACAACCACTTCATAAAGAGCCTCTTGCGGAACCATGTCTCATGCCAGCATTGCTCCCCCTGGCATAGTATGATGCAGATGTATAGTTGAGCACACCGAGACATGACATTGCGAAACAATCCGACCATGCATACCACGCATGTGAGCGTGCATATGCACCCTTCCATACCCTGCTGCCAGGCACATCAAAGCATGTTTTCCTTCGTAGTATATAGGTGTACGTATGTGTGTATATATATATATATATATATGTGTATGATTGATTGAGCCAACAGCTGGATTGCCAAAGTAAAACGGATGCCCATGGAGATGAACTGCCTATCTCGGGTAGCACCTCAAAAAGCCTAAATTGCCCACAAAGTGCGGCAGGGCATTGGGTAGGAGCTTGAGAGAGGAGCCTGACCAGTGCTGATGCATCAGCGCAGATTTGATCAGCAACATGTCACAGCTGCGAGATGAAAGTGCGTGGAGTGCACTGGCACTTGGCGGTGGGGGTAGGGCAGGGGAGTGAGATGTCCAGGTGGCTGCGGCTTCGGTGCCGGAGGCAGGGGAACTGGTACCTACTTGACTTGCACTCATTGCAAGGTGCAAGGCATGCTGACCGCGACAATGAGCTTGCTGAGATATGTTTTTCACTGGCCGGACATGTTTATGATTGTTCATCGCTTCCTATTCCAATTCCATGGCACGTTGCCTCTGCATCCCATCTCGCCCGTTGGCTGAGCACGCTGTCCTTTGCAGGCCCCATGTGTAGCCAGGCACCTGGCTACCTCGCACCGAGTTGAGTGCCATGTATTGAATGTTTGATCCGCGCAGTGTGGGTTCAAGCTAAGCTTGAAACAAGACTGATTTTGTGACGAAGACATGGTAACGAGCCAGTGGTTCCCTGCAATACTATATATATAATGCATACACATGCATATTAGATATATCATATATATATATATTATGTATATATATATATATATATCACACCTTCCCTTGTTCAATTGGAGTAGCTTTTCTTGATTGGCTCGTATTCCAGCCAGCTACCTAGCCACCTAACCTACTCCAACCAGTTGGTGCTACTCTGACTGCCCGTCAGGACCCTACAGTAACTTCTGCGCGCGTATCAAGCCGCGGTCTAAAACGATGATGCTTTCAACTAGGCAAGGGATTCACCCCAAATGTTGCTTCGAACAACCAGTCTATGGACTTTACCTTCCAATCCATTTGCCTATCACGTTGAGGAGATCGCCTTTGGGCTCTCGCAATCTTCAGGAGCACAGCCATGCTTCAGGCGAGATGCCGACAACTGATGTTACAGGCTCCCGCGTGCAATTGGTATCCAAAATGTTCCTGCCGAGCGTGCTTGACATGGGTGAACTGGCATTCTCTTGTAAGGAGCTCTATGTGGAGCGCATTGTTTCTCGGTTATCCCTGAAGAACCAACCGACTAAGCTGGTACTCAGGTCCGCCTGGCAGCTACCCTGGACGGCCTAAGGCGCTTCGATGCGCCGAGAGCTGGGACGGGCGGTTCCGACAAACTCGCCGGGCTCGGAGAGGGGTGCAAGACGCAAGGTTTGCAACTGCATTTGTGCAAACTAACAAGCAGTTCAGGCAGCTTAACCGTTCTGCTTCGGCCTCAAACTAGTCTTTGCACAGATGCCCTGATTGAGCCCAGGGGGGCTTGTCCTGGCATATTCTTTGGGCGTGAAGGGTTTGAGGCCTCAAAAATGTGGGGCAAAAACTTCAACAGCAATGCAACATGGGATCCACATAAGTGAGTGCTGATTACATGTGTTTGTGTTTCAGGTTCGTGTGGAGCAACTTGAATACACCCGGAAGACCCTTCCTGCGCCATGAAGGTGGATGTTCACTTGCCCAGTGGAGATGGTTGCTCCGTAGAAGTCTCACCGGCAACACTCATCCGCGAGCTGAAGGCTGCAGCGCAGCAGCATTTTCAGCGCCGGCTGAAGCTCACTGCAAAAGGCCAGCAGCTCGACTTGACGGCCACGGTGAGCGAAGCCGGGTTAGGAGACGGTGACGTGGTGGATGCAGTTGCGCAGCTTGGCAAATTGGCTGCCACTGAACAAGCGTTTGCTTTGATTGGCCATCGGGGTGATGTTGTGACCTGGGGTATTCCTCAACACGGCGGAAACACCAAGCAGGTGCAAGAGCAGCTGAGAAATGTCCAGCACATCCG